CCAAGGTGTTAAAAAATTAACAATTCACTAGCTAAAAAGTGAATTAAAAATGTTAATGTTGTAATTGAAACTTTTTATAGTTTAATAATTAAAATAAAAATACTATCAAGTTTAATAACTTATGATATAACTTATTTTATTTTTATTTAATTATTGTCTTAAATAAAAAAAATAGTGTGTGAATTGTTTTCATACGTAGGTGTTGGACGAGGAATCTGCAACGAGATGGTGATTATTTTTCTTTAATGTTCTAATGCTAATTATAAGCTAAAGGTATGTTATAAAATTATTATTGACATGTACTGTTGGGAAAATAGACCCCTTGTAATCCAACAATCCCTTTAGATCACAACATTAACAAAAATACTTGAAAAATAAAAGAGAGAAAACACAATAATTTAACGTGGAAAACTCCCAAATGGAGAAAAACTACAAGCGTTGTCAAAAGACAACCAAGAAAAAAAATATTTACTATGTGGAAAATTATTACAACCACACTACAAAATATTTAACTCTCACACATGCCCAAAAACTAAAGTACACCCCAAGAGAATTTCCCTTTAAATTCTCTACCAGTATAGCTAATAGCTTTCTAGTACACCACTTGTATTTTGGTGATTGACATACATTTAACCAAAGGGAAATGTTCTATTTATAGGCTAAGAATTTTTTCATCATTTGTTCATTTCCAATGTGGGATTTGACCAATTTTTGCCAAAAACTAACATGTACAAGGTCTTATTTTATTTGATTTTAAATTTTGAAAATAAATTATTTAATGTAAGTCTATTAAGTTATCAATTTTATTTTATACATTGAGTAAGTTAAATTATTTTATAATAATAATAAATTAAACAAGATTTTTATAATTGTAAAAGGTTTTAGTTTAGTCAAAATTTTATTTTGAATCTCAAATGTAACATCTTTGATTCATGTCTGATTTTTAAATTGGTGATGTTTTCGATTCGTGATATTTATATTATGCTAATCAAACATGTTTAGTAAATTAAAATTTTCTATAATTACATTATTAAAATAGTAATTATATTTTGTTGTCCAAATACAGTTTTATAGTATATATTTTTTTTGAATTCAGCTAAATCAAATCCTTATGAAAGTATCTTTGATTATAATTAATAATCATTTGAGTAAAAGGAATATATGTTAAAATACAAACTTAACTTATTATATATTTATTCCGAATTTATTGAATTTATATTTTTATTATACAAAAAACAGAATAAAGCGAAAAGAAAATAAAGATGCTGAGACTCGAGAAGTCTTTCCACTTTTCAGCTGCCTCTTTGGCTTCGGTTTGACCGAGGATACTTAACTTCCATATTTAAAACAGTTGGGCATAATGTAAAAAAAGCCCATAATATTTAATTAAATAGTTATTTTAGTCCTTATATCTTTTTGAAATATTTTAATCTTAATGTTTTATCTTTAGGCAAAAAATCCCACGTGTATGTGGAAATTGTTAGTTAACGAATAGTTAACGCTATAAAAAGGAGCCTTTTATCGTGAAATAAAATAATTGGGGTCAAAATGTTCTATAAAAAATAAGGACTAAAGTAATTATTTAATAAAACGTTAGGATTTTTTTATCCTAAAATAAAATGTTAGAGTCTTATACATGTTGCACGAACTTATTTAATTCAGTAGTTAAAGTAATCGTTGTTGTTTCTAGAGGTCACGTCATATACACAAATTAGTACTCAATAATAACTATTAATACTATTTAATCTAACATAATAAATATAGCATTGGACAGGGAAGACATACATCTATAGATGACCCGTATAAAGGCGGGATGGCTAAAGTGGAGGGCCGCTACTGGAGTTCTGTGTGACAAGAAGGTCCCTCTAAAACTTAAGGGAAAATTTTATAGAATGGCAATAAGACCAGCGTTGTTGTATGGATCAGAATGTTGGGCAACCAAGAAGGATCACGTAAGGAGGATTGAGGCCGCAGAAATGAGAATGCTTCGATGGACATGTGGTAAGACTCTGAGGGATATGACGACAAACTCTGCTATTAGGATGTCCTTGGGGGTGGTGTCTGTTTCCGAAAAATTGAGGGAGGGAAGACTACGGTGGTTTGGGCATGTCCTTAGGCGACTACCGTCGGATGCGGTAAGGAGGGTAGAGTCGATTACAGTCGACGGTGCCAGAAGGAAAGGACGACCAAGGCGAAAGTGGGAAGACTGCTTGAGATCTGATTTGAGGGATTTAGCCCTTACCGAAGACATGACCTCTGATAGGAAATTATGGAGGCTAAAGACTAGGGTAGTCGAGTAGTGTGGGTCACATCTATAGGGTGTATCACCTCTGTCTTCTTTTAATGTCTTTGTAGTATTTTCCATGACTTATACTTTTTATACGTTTCTGTTATTGGTATTTATGAAGGATTAGAACTGGGCTTGCTAACGTTTACTTCTGTGTATCATTCTCTTCATGTTTCCTCTTTTAAATTTAGCCGGATCTTATCTTATGCTTATGTCTATATGCATAGATTCTTTCGCAGGGATAATTATGCAGGGATTAATTCCCGTTACAGACGCACATATGATTTTAATGACTGCATATGAATACTGTTTAGCTATGTATTTATGTATTTATTTATACATGCATTGCATTTTATCTAAATTTTTAATTTTCTGACTGCCGGAGGTCTTCCACGGAAGTTACTCTCAACCTGGCGTTGGGGGTAGCCTACTACCCTACCTCCCCCTTACCCCATACACATGGGAATTGGGTTTTGTTGTTGTTGTTGTTGTTGTTTGAGTTGAACTTGATAATTTTTAGCTTGTGAGTTTGAGTTGAGTTGAGTTTACTTTTAAAGTTTTCAAATTCGAGTCGAGCTCAGCAATACTCGAGTTCGACTTGGCTCGTTTAACAAATGACGTTTTTGGTTTAATTTAAAAAAAAAAACAAAAATCCTGGTTTTTCCCAGTTTTTCCCGGTTTTCAGCCGGTCCGGTTCGAACGGTTCAACGGTTCTGGCCGGTTCACTAATAGCGGTTCACTAATAGCGGTTCAACCGGTTTAGATTGAACCGGACTAAGTAACGGTTCCCGGTTGAACCGGCCGGACCGGTCCGGTTTTCAAAACAGAGGCAAGGATGGACCGAAGGAATGGGCACGAGTATTAGCTTATTGAAAATTTAAAATTATCATATATTTTATTTTTTTATGTATTTTATATTAAAAATATATTTTTATTCTTTTAAAATTTTATAAATTCGTCCCATTTTAAAATTTTAAAAATTCGTTCTCTAACATAAAACTATACATTTGGTCTTGAATTGTTGAGACAAATGGCTAGCAAAAGAGGCACGCCTCAAATGTAATTGGCAAGTGATAAGCCGAGGATTGGTTCGGTTAAAATTCGATATATATTCATCTCGAGTTTTTAATGAGCTGTTTGATACTCAATTCGAAAAGAGCAACTCGAAAAAATAATATATTAAAATATTATTTTTAAAAAAATTACATTATTAATAATATTAATATTTATGTGTTGATTTTTTAAAATACAATATAATATTTTAATGTACTTAAGTTTCACGTTTTAGTTCGAGTTTGAACTTCAACCGAATTAAGTTTAAGATTTTTTTTATTTCGAACATTTTCAAGCTTCAATTTATGGTTTCAAGTTTGAGTCGAGCTTAAAAATTTTAGGCTCACGACTCGACTCATTTATACGTAGGTATATCAGTTACATAATATAAAACTAAAAAAGTTCACATTAATTTAAAATAGTTAGACGAATAAAAATAAACAGTTGATATTAACAGTAATAAATAATAATATATTCAATGAAAAAATTAATAAACAATCCCAATCATTTATTTTCGTTAACTTAACGATGTTAAATTAATACAAAAATTTAAAGATTATATATATATATATATATATATATAGGGTAAAGTATAGTAATGGTCACTGAACATTTTTGAAGCTTGCATTTAGGTCCCTCAACTTTTAAAACTTGCAATACAGTCCCCCGACATTTATTCCGTTTGCAATATGGTCCCCCAACTTAAACTACCGTTAGAAAATTAGGGTAAATTATATAAACGGTCATTGAACTTTTCAGACACTTGAATTTAGGTCCCCCGACTTTTAAAACTTACAAAACAATCCTCAATTTCATTCTAACCCCCAATTTCCAAAGTAATTCAATTTCATTCTAAACCCTAAATTCCAAAATAATTCAATTAAATTCTAAACCCCAAATTCTAAAATACTTTAATTTAAGGGTTAGAAAATAAATTTATTAATTTTTTCAAATAAACACATATTGATATAATATATAATTTATAAAAATTCATAATATTATTTTACCAGGTCATATTGAACCTAGATCCACCTATTTATAATAACATTTCAATAGAAAGATGTTTCAAAATATTTTAAAAATATATATTATTTTTTACTAAACACGTGACTTTATGGAATTATGAAAGTGGCGTTGTATTGATGGAATAATTTTTGTCAATGCTTTAGGTGAGTTTGTAAAACATTTGACAGAAAAATATAAACCCCCACCCGAAGCATTTTACAACCCATTTCCATGCCTGCGATGGTTCATAGCTGTTTTTACCACCATCTTCATCACACCACTTGTTTCGCTTCCTACTCCAATTTTCTATACGTTTTATCTTTTCAGGCTTCAACAAATTGGATTTATAAAGTGTTTTACAGCTTGGGACGCCTGTTTATTATGACCATTAATAACTGTCGAAGCAAACTTTGTGGAACGTTAGTAAAATCTAAGCACCATGTTTTACTTTTCGTTTTGTCTCTTGGGATTTCTTTTGTTTTAACATTTTTCGGAACCAATCAACCTTCAACATAACTTTTCCCTATGAATCTCCTATATCCTTCTCTTTCTGCTCTCACTTGCCTAAAACAGGCGAACCATTCATATCCAAAACAAGACAAAGCTCTCCAACTAAGGAAACATGGGAGGTTGCGCCACCTAGCCTAAGGTTTTGATGGGTGACGAAGGGGAGATCCCACCGCCTTCACTGTCCAAAGAGTCAGTTCCCGAAGCAAAGGAGGCTGCTGCTGCTGATGTTGTTACTGCTGGAAGTGAAAACAAGATCGAAGCTATCGACGAGGCTGCCGAGGACAAAGATGTTATCGACGACAACATGGAAGATGATCAATCGAGCAAGAGACAATCTCTAAGTAACTTGTTCCAAGAGGTACCGTTTCTAATTCTGTAACTGCATTATGCATATGTAGTATAAGTAGAAGAAAGGGTTTTCTTTTGTTAATACAGATTAGTGTATTGGTTAATTTGGTTTTAGATGTGAATGGAAATGAATTCATACTAAATTGGATGAATGAGGTTGTAGATCTTTTGGTAACAGTTGGTCATTTCCATAAAGTCACGTGTTTAGTAAAAAATAATATATATTTTTAAAATATTTTGAAACATCTTTCTATTGAAATGTTATTATAAATAGGTAGATCTAGGTTCAATATGACCTGGTAAAATAATATTCTGAATTTTTATAAATTATATATTATATCAATATGTGTTTATTTGAAATAATTAATAAATTTATTTTCTAAACCTTAAATTGAAGTATTTTAGAATTTGGGGTTTAGAATTTAATTGAATTATTTTGGAATTTAGGGTTTAGAATAAAATTGAATTACTTTGGAAATTGGGGTTTAGAATGAAATTTAGGAATGTTTTGCAAGTTTTAAAAGTTGAGGGACCTAAATTCAAGTGCCTAAAAAGTTCAATGACCGTTTTTATAATTTACCTTAATTTTCTAACGGTGGTTTAAGTTGGGGGACCATATTGAAAACGGAATAAATGTTGGGGGACTGTATTACAAATTTTAAAAATTAGGGGACCTAAATACAAACTTCAGAAATATTCAGTGACCATTATTATACTTTACTCTATATATAATAATAAATTAGACTTAAAACCATTATACAATACTTTTCCTTCGCGAGGAAAACCATAAACTCAGTGACAAAATATGTTGCCTTTTCGGGTGCAGGTTTGAATTACGTCTTGCACGAAATTCATTTTTCTTTCCTTTTTTACTATAAAATACTGGATTGGTCAATGTCCTTACAATTTTACTTATCAAATTTTAAAATATTATATTTTAATCACTTATTTTATTGATTTATTAAATTTTAATTATTTACATTATTGATTATTATATTTTAATCACTTAACTGTTAATTTTTGTTGATACGATTACATGACACATTAATCAAAAGGGTTAGTTTTTAATTTTATCCCTAATTTGACCATAAACTTTAGATGAAGTATATTTTGACCCCTAAACTTTATATAAAAGATCAATTTAACCCCTAAATTCGATCGAAGTCTATTATCGTTGCCACCACTGACCACCATTGTTGTCGATCACCGTCAATCGGCATTGGCCGCCATCGCCATCGACTGTTAGACCCCCAAGATTTATAATTCACTCATTCTTAACATTCTGAATGTGAATCTCATGTTCTTTTCACCAAAAAAAAATTCGTAACTCAACAAATCTAACCTAAAACCCTTTGATTTCCATTAAAATTAAACCATAATAATAAATATATTATTAATATTCCTTTAGAAATAAAATCATTAAAAATCTAAATCTATATCATAATCAAATACATAAACTTTTTATTTAAAATATTATTACGTTATTTTTTATCATGTTTATAATATTATGATTATGAATTTTATATTCAATAATGAATATGTACTTTAACTTTAATTTGTAACTTTTTAAAATCATTTAAAAGAAAGTAGTTAAGGACTAATTAAACTTATAACAGCTAACCTCTAGAAGTACGTTGTGTATGGCACCAAAGAGCTTAACATGGTCCTGACTTGTAAGTTAACCTAGAGCGTATGGTATACATAATTAAACGCTTGTTTGTTATAATTATAATTCACCAACTCCTTAATTAAATGTATAACGTAATTAAGCCACTGAAGTATTTCCCAAGCATGCTATGGACGCCTATTTTTTCCTTCCTCTTCTTGTACTTGGATATTAGCGCAGCGACAAACGTATGATTTTATATTAGGAGACGAATTCATAAAATTTTAAGAGGAGATGGAAACATATTATCGATAGAAAATACAAAAATATCTAAAATATAGAGATTTTGAAATTTTTAAGAGGGACGCTCCCTCGCCCTTTCCCCTCGAACCATCACTGGTGACACTAATTATATATCCACAATTAAACCCTGGATTTTCCTATCATTTTGTTTTTATTGCATGATGTTGGAGAACTTAATCAAATTGTGGCCCCGGTGGAAATTCGTTTCTTAAGATCAAAAGAGGAAAACAAAATCCCACCTAAAATAATTTAAGTGAAGGTGGATGAGAAAAATTATATTTAACAACTTAAAGGGATATTACTAATAAATTTATTGTTATGGTTCAATGTTAAAGAAAATCAAAGAATTTTAGGTTAGATTTATTGAATTACACATGTTTTCGACGAAACAGACACTAGATTCACATTCAGAATGCAAAAGGAATGAATTGTAAATTTTATGGTCTAACAGTTGACGGTGATGATGATCGATGTTGACTAGCGGTGACCAATGACGTCAATGGTGAGTGGTGGTGGTGACGAGAGACTTTGATCGAATTTAGGGATTAAATTGATATTTTATATAAAGTTTAGGGTCAAAATGATATTTTATCTGAAGTTCAAGGTCAAATTAGTATTCTATATAAAATTCAGGGGTAAAATTAAAAACTAATGTGTCATCTGACTAACTTTGGTTACCAATTTAAAAATTAATGGTAAATGGTCCCTCACATTATCGGTTCGTCCAGTTTAAGTCCCTCTGTTATTACTTTCCATTAATCCCCTTTTGTTTAAGTCCCTAACATGATTGAGGGTTTCATTCAAAAAAATAACATGGTTGAGGGTTTCATTCAAAAAAAAATAACATGGTTGAGGGATTAGAATTGAACGGAAGTTAACGGCTAAGGGACTAAAATCAAATGGATCGATAATATTAGGGACAAAATTCAAACGGATCGATAACGTTAGTGACCATTTTCCCTTAATTTTTAATTGATGACCAAAGTCGGTTAGACAAAAAATATAGAGCGCTATTTGCACCCTTACTTTTTTATGATGAGAAAGTAAAATGAAACTAAAACTAAACGTCAAGTATATTTAAAAAAAAATTAGATGACTAAAACAGAACAAAAGTAATAGTTGACATACTAATAGTGTAGTGTGTTGTTTTAACCCATGGGTGCTGAAGCCTGCTTTTTTTAACTGAAAAAAAGGAATGTCGCGTAAATATTTTTTAGTGGCGGAACATCAGCGTCCGGCGTGGCAATGATTTCCCCTCTGTTTCAAACTTTATAAGCAGCTGCCATCTTCATTTCCTTAAATTTTCAACCATATGTATCTATATATATATATTTAGTTGACATTCATCCTATTTAAAGATTCTTTCAAAACAGAAACCTCATTTGCTTATCGTTTCAGCTTATTTTCTCTTTGCTATTAATACACAACCATTCCACCTCCTCCCCCTTTCCTTCTTTTTCAACTACAAATCTTTATCTGATAGCTTTGCTTTTTATACCTTTAGGTTTTCTGACATGCAGATTAAAGGTGTATATATTCATTACTATAACCTTGCTTTTTTCCCCTGATAAGAGAGAGGAAAAGGAAAGAAAAAAAAAGCAGACTTTTTGGTTTTGATTCTCAGCTCACAAGATGTTTGATTTATTGTTGAAGCCAAAGTTCTATTCAAAATGGTTAGACACACAAAACCCAAAGCTTCATATTGCAGTTTTTTTTCCTGGTTGCATTGAATTTTGGTCAATGTGTTTGTTGATTCATTAGACTTTTCATTTTGTTTTTGATTAGTAAATCGGCACTGAGGATTAATAAGGTGAGGCTCGAGACTATAAAGAAGAAGAGAAATGCGGTGGAAAACTTTTTGAAGAAAGATATTGCTGATCTTCTGAAGAACGATCTTGATTACAATGCTTATGGAAGGGTAATACTAATTTTTGCCCCTTTTTTTCCTGTTTCTTCTTCTGGTAGCCAACAGTAACGATAAATTTTTCTTTGTTTTCTTAATACCTTGCTTCCCAAGCAACTCATATATATATATATATATATATATATATATATCATTCACAGACAGCCCCCCACGTTTGCTTGCTTGTTTTTGTTTGTGTTGGCATGTGCTGGAGCATATCTGTAATGATTTGTTTTTTTTAATATATTGTTAGTTCTTTTTTCTTCTCTTCTGATTTGTTGCTCGTTTTAAGCATCTATTTGATGGAGTCCTTCCAATTATTTTCTTCTCCTGAGATTCATGGCATCCGTCAGAGCTCATGTGCATTGACTGGAAAAGCTAGGACACCTTTTCCGTCCAAGATTAACTCTACATTATGTAGGGGGACTCAACTATGAATTGAGACATTCTCCACCTCATTTATAACTATGTCATTCCACTCATTCTTCTATTGAGAGTAGTAGAAGAAGCATTTACTCTATATTCTTTCGTCTCTCTCTTTTGGTGGTTATCGTACGCATATCTATATACCAAAATTCCGATTAAATGCTTTAGGAAGAGGCTCATGAGACGGTCATAGGACTGGAAGTCTTATTTGAACCAAACTTGTGCATTTTAAATTCACATTTTACACAATCTATATACATCTAATTAGATATAAATTACTTGGCTAATAAGTTATAGCTCCTGACCACTTTGTGTATGTTATTGCAGGCTGAAGGTCTTACGATCGAGCAAAACCAAACCGCCTGTTACAAATTCATAGAGCAGTTTTCACTGTGCATCTCAATGCACGTCTCTATTATGCAAAAACAGAGGTATCACGTCTCTATTGATATTTGATTATACATTTCTTGTGTTAATCTACTTCTTTTCCATTACAGTGAGTGTCCCGAGGAATGCAGAGAAGCGATAGCATCTCTGATATACGCTGCAGCCCGGTTTGCCGATTTGCCGGAACTACGCACCTTAAGAGCGTTGTTTACTAAGAAATACGGAAATTCCTTAGAACCCTATTTAAATCGAGAGGTAATAGATACATTAGATGGCTTGAAGTTGTTTTCTTCTATTTTTTAAGGCATAATACTAAAATTAACAATTAATGTTTGATAAAATATTCACTTTCATTTCTATTTTGTCTTGGAATATTTGGTTGGATGGAAACCATTAATTGATTGATGATCACTACTTGTCGTTAACGTGACAAGTCTTATGTGTTCAAATTAATGACATAACATATATCACAAATCATGTCATCACTTATGTACATGTAACATGTGTAATATTATTACTTGTGTACATATGACGTGTCTCATCATCGCTTATGTACATGTGGTATGTGCCACACCATCACTTATGTACGTATAACATGTATCACATCATCATTTTAACGTCTCTGATATACGTCGCAGCCTGATTCACCGATTTGTCAGAACTACGCACCCTCGTAGTGTTGTTTATTGAGAAATACGAAAATCCCTTAGAACTCTATTTAAACCGAGAGGTAATAGACACATTAGATGGCATGAAGTCCAACATGTTTCTTTCTTCTATTCTTTTAGGGCATAATACCAAAATTCATCATTAATGTTTGAGAAAATATTCAATTTGATTTCTATTCTTTACTTGAAACACTTTAGTCTTATCATTTTATATTGAGTTAGATAGAAACTGTTAATTGATTAATGATCATTGCTTGTCGTTGATGTGGCAAGTCCTATGTGTTCAAATTGATAATTTGACATGTATCATGTCATCACTTATATACACATAATATGTATCACATCATTATTTATGTACACATGATACAACCACATCATCACTTATGTATATGTGACATGTGTCGCATCATCATTTTAGACACATGGCATGTGTTACATTAGCAAAAAAACATTGACAGTTAATCAGCTAACAATTTCCATCCAATTAGGAGTCATTTTGCCTTAAAATGAAACGTTGGGATTAAAATGTTTCAAAGAAAATAATAAAGGCTAAAATGATTATTCAATCCTGCGTAAGAGGTATTACTTTTATCATTACACCTTCATTTAAGTACCAACCAAATAATTGAGTATATACAGTTTGTAGAGAAGCTTCAGGCGGAGCCTCCTACAAAGGAGATGAAGCTTCAACTGATGCATGCCATAGCACGAGAGTTTTCGATTGAATGGGACTCTAAGGCTTTGGAACAGACACTGTTTAAGCCACCTCCATCTGAACAAGTAAGTCTCCCTGTTTAGTCATTCAAAAAAAAAGTCTCCTGTTTAGAAACTTGTGATTTGATAGCATAATATTAGAAGAAGAGTCAGAACAACTTTGAAATGTTTTACTGTTACAATATACCATTATAGCTTAATTGAAGCCGATGATGCTAGCTGCAGTAACATGTAATCACATATTGGTTTTTCTTGCAGTACAAAGCTCTGCACAAGTCTTGGGCAAGGATGAAACAGTGAGATTACAATGATTTTGGGTATTTTCAATCCATTATTAGTGCTTGAAAGACAAATGACAGAATTTGTGATATGAATTTCATTTGATTCGGTTTGAGAAATTTGTTGTGTGATTCGTTTGATAAAAAACAAATTAAGAGGAAAAGATATTATAGGAATATGTGGAGGATGGAAAGACTCTCGATACTTTCGTATGACAATTTTGTAATTTGTTGTTGAATATTGATTATATCCTTAATTTTGCGTGTATAATTGTTTATTTTAATATTTTTTTTAAGTAAACGTGTGTTATTATATATTTTTTGCTATTATTTACCCATTATATCAGTAACATAATATTTATTATCGTGTATATTATATTGATGTGCCTGCTTGCTATACGGCCAACATTTCAGTAAATAAGTGTTGTAAGTTGAAACCCATGTGAGTAGATTGTCTCAAATCTCAGCTGGTCACTCATAAATTGTGATTAGCTTAGTCACGGATTTGGAAATATCTTTTAGGATAGACATATATAATTAAAGAAAATTTTCATATAGAGTGAACACAAATAAAATTTTAGGATAGACACCATCAGCAATATAAATAATCATGTCAACAATCTCTAAAGCAAGTAATTAAAACCTCTCAATTGATATCGTGATTACAAATATAATAAGTGTTATTATAATAATTATGATTATCATAATCATGTAATAACAGTTTCGGATGATACTATTACAGTTATAAGGTCCGCTATTTAAATCCTTGTGCATATCTAATAGCAAACAAGAGAAAATAAGTGTCACCATGTCTTCAACTAATTCATAACCTGCTTGTAAAGACCGATTCTTGCTGCCGAAATACTAACCAACACACTACTCTTCCTTAGCTTCTTCAATCTCCTCCCAATCTTCACCTTTAGCCCACACAATCTGATTTGTATAAACGATGGTTTTCTACTACAGTCTGCTGGCTCCATCACTTTATAGATCAATATGTTAGGGGTGAACATTTGATCGAGTCGAGTCAAAAAAATTATAAAAAATACATATAAATTTGAATATTAACATACAAACAGTCGGTCATATAAAACTCACCGATCTATCAATGGGTACCATCCCTAAAAATGGAACAACAAAGGACTAATCCCAGAAACATCTCAAGAGGTTGATGAGGAAATGAACAATTAGTTTTCAGGACACAACAACTCATGTCGAACCAATCGTTCTAAGTTGAGGTTTCGAGGAAGAAGATGACTGTAATAAAGCATGGTCGTGACCGAGGCGACTGGCCGAGTCACTAGCGCTGACACTAGCCTTGCTACCGTAAGAACCATCACAGATTGCAAAACATATCATCATTGAAAGCATAAATACTTAAACTCATAAAAATAAACAAAACACTGGGATGAATAAATACCATGATTTAGCACAATGACCGACAATCAGTGAGGAAGATGAGTTGATTTGAGGATAAATTGCACTAAAGTCTTAGGAAATCACTAATGACAGTGTCCTCCATGTTTATGTGCATGTCTTTTGCCTAAATAATAATAATAACTTGGCATTCTTGTGAAGGTGCTTGTTTTTTGTTTTTTTAAAAATAATTTAAGATGTGATTACAAGTTAATATAAGTTTAGAATTTTTTTTAATCAATTCATAACGCAAACACTTTGCTGACATACACAATTGTTCGAACTCAAGACTTCTAGGAAAAATAATATTCTTTTTTATTATTAAGGCCACTGATGAGTTAAGTTACTTATTCTAATTAAGCTACAAATTTTATTGTATTATTATATATGGATAAAAAATTCTCAAATTTTGAGAAATTTTATTTTTAGTATTTTATTCCCTTTAAGGTTTAAAGGCCACCTAATGCATGGTTTTCAATTGGTAGATAATCTAGAGTTTGTAAGAAGATTTGCTTTTATTTCTACTCTTCAATTCTAGGATTTTGATTAATTATATCAATTTTTAAGTGGATTTTAGTTAAAAATAGTCTCAATCCGAATTAAATGTGGACATGGATGCAATAGAATTGTGGTGTAGGCTTTAAAAGGGTTAAAACAAGTTTAGTTCTTGAACTTGAATTTTATTTTTCTTAAATTGGCCCTTCACCTTTTTTGGTCCACATTAATAGTCTTTAAATTTGTTAATTTTTTTCAACTTGGTTGCTGAATTTTTTTTCATCCAAATTAGTCTCACTACTTGACAACTTCATCTACTTAGTCCTAGAACTTGGATTCTATTAAGGACTAAAATGTGTGATGGAATCCAAATTCAGGGACCAAATTGGGAATATGTTAGTAATGTAAGCCCTACAAGGCAATCGTGATTTTCTCGTAAGCAATAAACAATTTTTTTTTTAATTTAAAATGCCTATCACAGTAGGCTAGTTGCTATAGCCAGGTTGCTGCGTAGTAACTCCTGAGTCACGAACAAGGATATCTTTCAAAGAAGCGGGTGGGGATGCCAGAGAAATCAGCTGGAAGTGTAGTGGTTGAACTAGTTTAGCCCTGTGATCAGATTCAGCCGCAATGTTGGCCTTACGCGGAACCCATCTGATTTCTGTTGTCGAAGCTTGTTCCTCAGCTTGGTAATTAAGCGAGCAAGGGAGAGTCTATTATTTCCTGCATCATGGTCATCCAGTAGTTTCGCCGCTTGCGCACTGTCTGTTTAGATTTGAAGCAGTTCGAGTCCAAGGGACCTAGCGAGTTTAGGCCTTCAAATATACCCCATAATTCGGCGTTGAGAACTGAGGACATGCCAATACCTCGAGAGTATCCATATACCCATCTTCCTGTTGAATCTCGTAGGACTCCACAAATGGCGGTGGCTCCAGTTTGGGGGTTGGTACTGCTATCAGAGTTTAGGCAGTACCAGCCTCGTTGAGGGGGGGTCCAGACGTTTCCTCAATTTGTGGCTCGTGGTGTAGGGCTGATGTGGGTGGTTGGTGAGCATCTGTCAAAATATCGAGCCCAAGTAATGCCATAGTATAACAACGCGTCATCTGCTTCTTGTGAGGTATTGTTGAAGATAGTACCGTTCCTGTTCTTCCATAATTGCCATGTTGTTGAGACAAAGAGGGAGGACCAGTGTAGGCCATCGTTTGTGTGAGAAAGGAGACATCGGAGACAAGATATGAGGAACGACCAATGACCAGAGTATAAGAAGAGAGACTTAAACAGGGGAAATATACTGAAAGAGTATTAATGAAAGGTACTCCAACCCATTACAAACAGTACTTATATAGCACTACTCAAACAAGTTTTACAACTTTGATCCAACAGATTAACTAACTTTTAACAAACTCAGTTAGTTTTGACTAACTCAATACCAACTAATTACATTTTATTATATTATATTTCTAACATTTTGCCATGCGAGGATAGATTTCTTTAGTAGCCAGTCACTTAGTTCAGTAGAGAAAAAATCAGTTCTAGAGTCCAAAGGGAGGACCTGTAGCCAGAGTCGTTGAGGTATGGGGCATTCACGCAAGACGTGGATGATTGTTTCTTGGGAGCATCTGCAACATGGGCAAGAAGGATCATTTGTGAGAGTACGACGGTATCTTTCGTGGTTCTTCATAATCTTCCCTTTATAAGAATCAGGGTTTTAAATCGCGATCGCGGTCGCGTTTTCGGTCATTTCGGATTTACCGTGATTGTGGCCGTCGCGGGAGTTATTGCGAGTGTAGCGGGTAACTCGGATGGCGGCAAAACCGCTATATCGCGGACGAAATCGCAGTCGTGGAACGTTTTTTAAAACCCTGATAGGAATAGCCGGAGTCGTTGGGGAATATGTAGGCTCCAAATCAGCTTGCATACTTTGTGCCCAGAGTAGATTCCATATTCGGCTAATGAAACTAGTAAAGTTGGGGGATATGAAGCATGGGAAAGAAAGTTCATTCAAGAAACGCTTGAATGAACTTTCAATGGACGCAGTAAGAAGTTTTTTCGAGGTGGATTTTAATTGTTTTCTATGTTTTTTTCTTTTCTTTTTTGAACTGCTCATAAAATGAATGATTTCCTGATTAATAATTATATTTTCTATAATTGATCTTCCGTGTACAAAGCTAATCTATGTTGGATGAACAAGGGGAGGTACGATGTGTTTGAGGTGTCGGACTGTAATTTTCGTTATCAATTCAATATGTACATGATGGTGTATACACTTATAGGTCGGAAGTCACTGAAAGTTTTCAATGAATCTTTCTTGGGAATTAAATATGAGAACGGTCTTATTAATGTTAGTTTCATATTCTTCTATTTTAGTCACTAACTTTTAAGTTTTCGTTAAAACTTAATAAATAAGGTGATGTGACATTATATAATAATAATTTTATCTCCCAAAACTTACATTGTATATCAATTTGATTCTAATTCAAAAAATTAATAAATTTAGCTCTAATATTGACAATTTTTTTTAATTTCTCCTTATTTTATTTCTCAATAATTTAATAACTAAATATATCACTTTTGATCCCAAACTCATCCATATTTTTCTTAATTTTAACTAATAAAATGATGATGTGTTTTCTAGCTTACTAGATGATTAAATATATTGAGTTATTTAGAAATAAAATAAAAGACCAAATTGAAATGATTTGTGAACATTAAGATTAAATTTATTAAATTACTTTTGAATTAAGATCAAATTGATAGAATATACAAGTTTTAAAGATTAAAAATATTTATTATATCATGTAACGTTACCATCTCCATTAGTTTTTCTAATGGCAGGTGATCAAAATAAAAAGTACTAACGTTAGTGATCAACTTTGCAGACAAAATAGTTTGATAATCAAATAAGAGAACAGTAATAATTGAATGACTAATGGTATGGTTTACCAAAAGTAAAATTACACAACCCTTGTTAGTTGGTCACCCAATATAAACCCATCTCTTCTCCGCCGCCCTCTTTCTTAATTCAACACCGTATCTTAGGGTTTCTCCCGAATCAACTCAGCTCCAATGGTAAACGATACTCTTCTTTCCTTTTATTCTCTTTTGTGTTATTTTTCTGCTCGCGATCTGTTTTAATATATTCGTCAATGAAATGGAATGGTAATTTGCAGGGAAAGGGAACTGGGAGTTTTGGTAAAAGAAGGAACAAGACCCACACTCTCTGCGTCAGATGTGGCCGCCGCAGCTTCCACCTCCAGAAGAGCCGTTGCTCCGCCTGTGCTTTCCCCGCTGCCCGTAAGAGGAAATGTAAGCTTCCTGCTCCCCCTACTTTCTTTCAACTCTAAAGCTTCATTTTTTGTTTGTGCTTTTATTGATTAAGTCTTCTTCCCCATCTGGATTTCTTTTTGTTTAGCTGTTTGAGAATCTGGGTTTGTAGTTTTCCCTTGAATTTGTTTATTTGGTTCTGATTGAAGTTCATTTGCCTAAAAACAATGAAGCAAGAGGTGTCTGATTTGAACGTGTTTCTTTGTAAAAGTATGAACTATGTATACATGCAAGAATGTGAATGCATTTCTTTCTGAAATCTTGACTTGCATGATCATACTTGTAGTTTACCTGTCATGGTTTTAGTATTCTTCAGTTTAATCTTACAATAAATGTTCTTTTACCGGCGATTTTGTGAATGGAAATGGGGATCCATATTGTAGTTTGAATATGGTATGCTGTCCGATTCTTCATTCTTCTTGAAGTACCCTTTGACATGGCTGCCTATAATATATAAACCCGAGTCCAAAGCCGGCTATAAATTGGATACTAGATGGTTGCATATGCTTTGTGATTACGTGTTAATTGTTAAGCCCGAAGGGAAATCTTCCTTTAATTTTGTGGTTCAGATAACTGGAGTGTGAAGGCAATCCGAAGAAAGACAACTGGAACCGGTAGGATGAGGTATCTTCGCCACGTTCCACGCAGGTTCAAGACCGGTTTCAGAGAAGGTAGGAAAATGCTACTTTCCTTAAGCTCATTGCTTTCTGATTTTAGTTTCATTGCATATGATATATGAACATTTTCTGTTCTTCTCTTCATATTGTTCGTATTTTTTTATTGCGGAATGGATCATGATCTATAGGTACCGAAGCATCGCCAAGGAAGGTTGCCGCAACTTCCGCTTAAAAGGTGATTTGTATTGGTATTGAAGGTTTTGAGGAAAAAAGTTCTATGGGAAACATTTAGTCTTGAGGAGTGGTATTATGTTACATTGGATTTCTAGTTTATATTTTGAACAATTATTGATGGATCTACTGTTTGACTTAATTTCTTCTTTCTCTCTTTTGTGAAGTTTATCAACGCTTCTTGTTTCGTTGAAGATGCCCTTAAATTGATGGATCAAAAATGGCTTTTCTTATTTCTTTTATATAAAGGGTAAAATAGTCACTCCATTAAATTATTTGTTTGGTAACAAATGAGATATTTTTTAAAAATATAATAGTCACTAAATTTAAATATTATTATAAAGTGGTCTTTTCATTTTATTGTTATAATTGAAATAGATGTGGGTTTGATATAATGATAGCTTATCTTCAAAATTTACATATTTTATTAATTTATTAAATTGTTATTATATCAAGAAATAATATAAAAGTAATATAATATTTTTGGAGAAGAATAAGGAGTAAATTAATTGAATTTTAAAATATTAAAGGTTGAATTTATTGAATTATTTAAAAGTAAATAGAATTTATAAATTTTAAAATAAATATTATTATATAAGTTGATTTATTTTATCTGATATTTAATAATTAGTGACTTGTTTATAATAATATTTTATTTGAATAATTAAATTATAATATTTTAAAAAATATCCATTTCAAACTCATAAGTAGATGACCTTAAATACATTTCATCTTTATCTAAAAATCAATGGATAGTGTAATTTAAGGTTTTAAATTTATGCTATCCCTAGAATATTTTAAACGGATGTAAATATCAATATTTTGATATTAATTATTAGAATTTAGTATATTTTAAAATAATATATTGAAATATTAAATATGATAGGAATATTGAAGATACTTCTTTGAAATTGGGTGGAAGAAAAGAGAGAAAATTCCACTTCTTCCTTATTTCTCACGTTGGGAAGGCAGAAGAATGGAGAAATTTCTCATGTTTCTTTCTTTTATAATGATTATTTATTATTATTTCATCATTAAAATAAGATGTTTATAAATATATGGTGTAAATTTCACGGAGGAAGTAAAAAAAGCATTATCTATGCATTAATTGTACTACAAGGGTTCCAACTTTTATTTCCTTTTACGAAGGCTTTAGTGCTTTTGAACTATTCAATTTAGTCCTTTAAGACTTTGGACACTCATTTAACTTCAAGCAAGAGGTTTGGGTGTATTCTGAATTAGTTGTGGGTTAGGGGGCGTTCGATGGTGGGAGGTGCTGGGTTTGATGGGTGGTGTTTCTTTTGGATAAAAGGTGAGAAGTGTTGGTTTTGAGGGTTTTTTTTATTTATCGTTAATCTAGGAAGATTATAAAATAATCAGTAGGAATAATAATCATTCTTTTAACTAATCAGATAATTTGATTCGTGCTAGTTTTGATGGTTAGCGTAGGATAATGGGTGACATTTTTTTTTGGGATTATTCACTAGTCAAGACTCTCTATTGTCTATAGCATGGAATATCTCTTGGTGTCTCCTATCCAAACTTGACTCGACTCGGAAAATTGATCTTTTTAATTTTACTCGATCAAAAAATTTTGACTCGTATTTTTATAAACTCGACTTCATTCGAAAAAATGTCACATTCAAGTCGAGTTAAAAATAGAACTCGAATAACTCAATTTTAATAATTAGAGGACTGATTTTCAAGTTTGAGTTGAATACTTTAATTTTGTAGCGTTAAAAGGTTTGTTGGATCTAATTTTGTAGAGTGATGGGCCTTTAATTTGTATCCGGACGAAATCTAATATCAACAATATTTACGTTATAATTCAAGTTGTCAAATTGATATTTCTTCTTTTCACAATTATAATTCAATAATTGTATATATAATAATTAAATTGAATTTTTTTCTGTTTAGTTAATAACTTTTATTCTTTATTCAAAAATAAAATATGAATTATTTATATTTTCGTTAATTTTTTATTAGATTATGTAGTTCAGAATATGTAATTTAAGTTATAACGTCATCATGGTTAAAAATTTAAAATTCAAATTACAAATTTGTCTTATGATTTGAGTTATGGTCGTTAATTTGAGTTTGCTAAACGATTTTTTTAATACAATTTTGATCTTTAATATATATTTTATACATAATCATAGACAATAAAATATTATATTTAGTTTCAAAATATAAAAATCTTAAACTCAAATTTTTAATATCATATTAACTAAAATTTATTATATATATCTGTTCAATTATTAACCAAACATTATATTTGTATTAGTGGTTTAAGTGCTCGAAAATTCCCTATTTTGCCTTAGTTAGAATATCAGCTGTTACATCTTGTTATAAAATTAAATTTATTGAATTAAAATTAAGATTAAATGATAAAATGTATAATTATTGAGGACTAAATATGTTAACGCTATTAAATTAGAATCTCCCCATAGTTGAGTGGGCATGGGTGTAGTTTGCCTAAAAAAAAAGCGGTGGGCTTGACTGGGTTGACCAAATCCTTGATTTACCGTCATCATATTCCTTCCTATGTCAAAGCCAGGCTGCAAAAGAAAACGTATATAATTTTTATTATTAATAATAAATATAAATAAAATCCATACGAACTGAAATCAATAGGTTTGAGCTTTTCCGGTTTCCGCACCAGGTTCGCTCTCGCTTCTCCCTTTTCCCTTTTCCCGAAATTCGCCTTTTATTTTTATATATTTTATTTTTGCGACTTTGATTTTGATTCTCCCATTAAAATTACATACAATTATTTGGAGATCGTTATATATATATATTCAATCAAATCTGGTTGATCTCCTTAGCTTATTCTTCTTCTGGCTAAACATATACTACTTTTTCTTCTGCAATCAGCATTTAAAGATATAAAACTTTGTATTTATCGTTTAGTATTCTTTCTATATTTGCTTCAGTTGTCTTTTTGTATTTGTGTGGTTGATGGTGTTATTTTTTGTTAAAATTTTATTCTACTTTTGAATAATTTTCATTAGCTTATGTACTTTTTGGTTTATTTGTTAATTCTACTACGTATTTTTTTAGTGAAAAAGTGTATTTGCTTATCAAAGTTGATATTGTTGAAGAATTTAACGTTCAAAGTGTTTTCTTTTGTTTTTGGAATTTTATTTTCATGTAAAATTATTACGCTGGATTTAATTTTGCTTTGTAGTCATTTATAATAAATTAAATTACTATGATTTTACCTCCTATGATTTGCTTTTTCTTTGGGGGAAGTATAAAATAATTCAAAGTTGTTAACTAATGGCTGCAAAGTTGAGGTGAGTGGGCTAAAGTACTCGCTTCTTTAGCACATATTAAATTCTTCATCAGATCTTATTATTTGTGTAGTGGCCTTACAAGTTGCAATGGAATCAGCTGCTTTAAAATTCGTTAATGCTACTTTGAATTGGGTCACTTTGGCTTTGGATGCCCCTTCTGCACGAGCCGTAGTGTTTGGAGTCCATATAGGCGGTACCCTCTCGAAATCTTATTTACGTGATGCTATCTTTTCTCCACATTCGTGCTTTACATGTTTATTAACTTCAAAAAATTTTGAGCTTTGATTGTAGGGCATTTGTTTGTGGAGGTTCTTCTTTTGGTGGTCATTCTTTTTCTGCTTTCGCAAAAAAGTTACAAGCCTCCTAAGCGGCCTTTAACTAAGAAGGTTTGTGCTGAAATTCAACTTCCATTTAATGTTGTTCACCCTGGACTAATACTGTCTAAAGTTTATTTGGGTGTTGATGTTATAGTTCTGAGAATTCATTACCATGTTATGTTTCTATTCAATAGTTCATATCCAGGATTTGACTCTTGTATTTGGATTAGAATATTTAGGCTCTGCATGGTTGGTGCTTTTGCCGTTTTCTTTTACCAATAGCATGAGAAAATTAAGAAAAGATAAAAATAAAATTAACTGATCATAAGGGAAAAATAGAACAACGCCAAAGCAACAAGAAAACATAGCCTTAATGATTCAAGATTTTTATTTATAGCTGTAGTCTTCTTTTTGTTGCCTTTGGTAAAACCTTACTGCTGTCAAAATTTATTTGATAGCTTTTCAACACACCCTTTTTCTAATCCCATTTGACAAGGACTATATTGAAAGGTGTAACAGTGGCAAGCTATTATTTACACAAAATGTGTAATCTGCAGTTCAGTTTCACTTATTTTTGTTATTTTTTCTTGAATCCAATTGTTCTTACGTTCTGCCATAAATACTATCTTATCAGATAACAAATTTCTAAGTTTGCATGTCTCAATCATCATACTATTATCACAAGGCTAGCCATATATACTCTTCTAATTTTATGTCTGGGCCTAAAATTTTCTACTGATGTGTTTGATAAGGTGCTGGACCAAGTGCACTGGTGTTCTACCTATTGATGTATTTTACATATATAATAACTTAATTAAATGATGCATATGTCATATTTTAACCTTGTATTATACTGTGATTGATATGCTTTCTGCATTATTTTATTGTGTCAGTTTACAATATCATTTATTTTCAAGTTGATAATATTGTGTCAGCCTAACAATCTGAGAATCCTCTGGAATGTCTGTAGGAAATAGATGAGCTCTGTGATGAATGGGTTCCAGAATCTCTTATTCCTCCTATTACAGAAGAGATGCAGACTGAACCCCCTGTGCTGGAAAGGTGAATATGATTTTAGTTTCTGCATAATCTGAATTGCATTCAACTCTTCAAAAATTATGGTTCCACTTGCATGTATTCCTTTCATCCTCAATTTTGAAGATCTGGGAGAGTATTATTTTCAGTGAAATGTGGTTTCCATTTTTTTTTCTTTCCCAATCTGAACGGCCTTATCTCCAATGTGGCTTTTACCATTTCCTGTCCTTGATTCCTTGGCAGAGTTGGCAAGGTTGAGACCCTGGGATCCATGAGGTCCCAGGTTTGACCGAGACCCACCCTGTATAAACCATGTGTGGGTTCTCTAGAGTTCGAGTTAGTTTGAGTTGCCTTAGTTGTGTTTGTTATCCAGTTCAGTACTTGTAATAATTGATTCTGATATATATTGAACATAACAGTTGATATTGTAGAAAGTTGTAATTTTAAGGAAAAGAAAATCTTTCGTAGGTATACTAGCTTACAAGTTCACCTTTATACAGTGCTG